TCTGTTTACAAAATAAAAACAAATTACTTTTATGCATCAGTTACTGAAACAATTATTCAGTGTGTTGTATTCAAATTTCAGCAATTTATAAATAAATGTCTGAAAACGTTGAAATAAAAGACTCACAGTGACGAGCTGCTGATCCACTTCAGTCTGAGGAACACACTTTAAGAAACAGAAACAAAGACACACCCACAGCTTCGTGGAAACAGGAAACATCCTGACACCACTTAAACCTGAAGCACCCCTCTGTCCTTGGGGTCCAGAGGTTCACTCACACATCTGGTCACTAAAGACCAATAATGTCATTATTGATTAATTAAACAATGTGATCAGGTGAAGATGGTTAATCAATACAAGTTATGATCAGAGCAAAACAGTGACGGAGGTTAGAGGTCACTTCATCTTTTTCTCTATTTTAAGTTCTCGTCTTATTTTAGATCAGTCTGAGTCACAGGAATCCAGAGCAGCAAAGACTCAGGTGAGTCCGCCCCCCCCCAGCATTTCCTGAATCTCAGAATAAATGGTTCATGATTCAGTGTGAGTCAAGGGTTCAAACACACGACACGTCCGATCCACGAGGATGTGATGAGCGTCACACGTCAACATCGATCATATGACCACAGAGGAACCACACAATCCTGAACATGATGAAACTTCCTCTGAAAACATGCTTACACGTTATTTAATATCATCGTTACTGTTCAACTCTTCATGATTGTTTCATTAACAGTCTCATCTGTGGTTACTATATCATATATTACTATTTAATGGTCAAGTTGAGTCATGTGTAGTTGACGTCCAATCAGAAGACATGAATCCTCTGAATTAACATATTTTAAACGTGACAAAATCATGTGACTGGATATTTTTCTTTATTATAAGCAATGAAAATAAGAAAAAGTCAGAGAGAGAGAGAGACAGAGAGAGAGAGAGAGAGAGGAGTCTTCAGCTGCTCATGGAGAACATGTCAGTCAGGCTGGTCTGTTTCTGCCCCCTGCTGGAGGAGGAGGACGAGGACATGGAAGAGGAGGAGGACGACATGGAAGAGGATGAGGACGAGAACGAGGAGGTCTTCATCATCTTCCTGGACGGTCTGTTGGGCGTGGTGATGCCAACCTTTCCTCCTTTGTCGCGGAGTGGGTAGGCGTCAGCCGAACCTTTGCGTCTGTCAGTGGTTCTCACTTTCTCCTCATGGTCGAACTCCTTCTGGAGTAGTAGAGCGAATCGTCTATCGTCCTCCTCCTGTTGCTGGCTACTCAGCAGCTCTGAGTCCACCCCCCCCACCAGAGATGAGGAGGAGGGGCAGCCTCGTTTGGTGGTCGACGCCTCCTCGTCCATTAGCTCCAGGTCGGAGTTTGTCCTCTTAGTTGATGCAGGTCGTCTGTTTTTCAGCAGCTGATCATCAAGTCGCTGCTGCACGTTCTCCTGAAACAACACAAACATTCACTGACGCCCCCTTCAGTTCAGTCCACCTCCATCTCATTGACCTTTGTTTCTATCGTCATTAGAATAGATTAAAATTTAGATTGAAAATTCCATCTTGAATCAACATCATGTTTCAGTCCAACAGATCAATAACGACATGTCACCTCCAGGTGACTCACCTGTTGTACCGATCACCTGTCGTACTAACCTTGTTGTCGATTCTGTTGGAGGTGGAGCTGCAGTCTGAGGTTGTTTTTGATGAAAGAGGACTGAAGAACCTGAAACAACAAAAGCAAACATGTTTTTGTCTCTTCGCTCTTCTGACCTACAGGTGGCACTAATGTGACAACACTGAACTGCAACAGAGAAGAAGAAACAGTTACACATCACAGACTAGTTCTAATCAAACATTGTTTGTTTTAAAATGTTTTAAGACTTTATTTGTCATGTGCACAACAAGGTCTCACAGGCTCCATTCTACTCATGCTCAAAAATATTTAGAAAGAAAACAACACAAGCAGAAAATAATACAGAATTAAATAAAAAGTAATAACATACAATATAACTACATAAACACATAAAATATAAATATATTACTGAGTAGAATGAATGGATGACAATGTAGGTAATACTTTCTTATGGCAGTTTAGAGGAGGTTCACTATCTTATGGCCGAGGGATGAAGCTTCTCTTCAAGGTCACGATGGTACTGAACGCTGAACTGTAGTTAATAAACAGCATTGTCAGTGTCCCTCTCGTGTGGGTGGGAGAGGGCAGTGTGTTGGGTGATGGCACCTGCAGTTGACCTGTTTGGCCTGTAGGTGAACTGCAGTGGGTCCAGTGAGTCAGGGAGGGAGGAGGTGTTGAAGGATTTGACTAACCGCTCAAAGCACTTCATGATGATGGAGGTGAGTGCAACTGGGCGGTAGTCGTTCAGGCAGAGGGTTTTGTTTGTCTTGGGAACAGGGACAATGATGGTCTCCTTGAAGCATGTGGGGACTGCAGACTGGAGCAGTGACAGGTTGAAGATGTCTGTGAACACATCAGCTGATCTGAACACGTCTTGAGAGCTCGGCCAGTGATTCCATCAGGTCCAGGTGTTAATCCTCTTGAGTGATCTCCACACGTCTGCCCTGGATATTACAGGTGGGCTCCGGTCCTCCTGAGCCTCTTGTACTTCCACAGCCGGGGAGTTACTCTCAAAGCGAGCATAGAAGGTCTTCAGTTTATCTGGGAGAGGTGCAGACATAACCTCAGCACTGCTGGTCTTTCTTTTGTAGTCTGTCATGGTTTTTAGTCCAGCCCACGTGTTCCTCGTGTTGGAGCCCTGGTAGTGAGACTCCACTTTGTCCCTGTACTGTCTCTTGACACTGCTGATAACACTCCGGAGCACGTACCTGGACTTCCTGTACTCCTCCAGATCACCTGAGTTGTAGGCGTCAGTCCATGCTTTAAGTTTGGGTCACCATTAATCCAGGGCTTCTGATTTAGGAATGTTCGTACAGGGATCCTCGGTACGACTGTTTTCACCTTTCCTCAGCCTGACTAGGACGCTGCCAGTGACCCTTGTTTCCTTTGTTGCCTCCAAGCTCCAGGAACAACAGGTCAACACCACTATAGGTACTCACCTTTATTTTCTTGCGTCGGTGAAAAGGTGATATTTAAAAGTTTTTCTCTGTCATGTTGTATGATAGGGCTTGCATGGTCGTTGTGCATAATGCAGAATAAATAACAGCAGAGCTGTGGGGGAGCTTGAGATACGCCAGCGGTCCTCTACACTCTATTTTGACTAGATCTCATCTGACTGAGGAGATATGTCAGGACAAGGAAAGGGTGGAAAAGGTCTCGGTAAAGGAGGCGCAAACCCTGGATGTTATCACCGTAAAGTTCTCCATGATAACATCCAGGGAATTACCAAGCCCCGCCATCTGCCACCTGGCACTCTGTGGTGGAGTGAAGCATATCTCCACTCTGATCTACGAGGAGACCTCTGTTGTGTTGAAGGTTTTCCTGTTGAATGTGATCTGTGATGCTGTCACCTACACCGAGCACGTCAAGAGGAAGATGGTGACTGCCACGGACACGGTGTATGCTCCGAAGAGACAAGGCCGCACTCTGTACGGCTTCAGTGGTTAAACTCACTTTCCAACAGCTGGATTAAAAATATAAACCTGTATGACGTAACCTGATCTGAAATCTGTAAAACTGAAATCCATCAACTCACCTGTCGATGGATCCAACCTCCTTCTGTCTGTTAGTGGGAGGAGTCACACCAGCAGGTGGGATGTTTCCCTGAGTGACGGACGAAGAATTCTGAGGACGATGATGATTTAACAATCAGAGCTGTGACTTTAGAATCTGTCAGCCAATCACTGAGTGACTTAGCTGATGATGTCACTGTGTTTGAAACGTGTATCTTTAGTAGTAGCACAGGAACATGACGAACACAGACCAATTGGTTACTGAGGAGTCTGGCGAGTCGCTCATCGTCCGCTCGTCTCCTGCTCTCCTCCTGAAGCTCTGCCTCCTCCTCCGCCAACAGCCTCTGGATCAACGCATCGCTAGCCCTCCTCTCCTCCTCCTCCATCACTCGCTTTTCCTCAGTCAACTGAAAACACGCTTTTGACAATTTATTCAACACTCAACCAAATCATTTATCAGAATTATAATTCCTTTATTGTCCCAAGACTGGGAAATTAACAGCATTGCAACGGCAAGATAATCAACAAGCATGAAAAATATAGAGTAAAAATAAGTTAAACAGGATAAATTACTATATACAAACTGCACTTAGATTTCTGACATTGGTTGTACATGATGAGGTTCTGTGTGTGTGTGTGTGAGAGAGAGAGAGAGAGAAAGAGAGAGAGAGGGAGAGAGAGAGAGAGAGAGAAAGAGAGGAGGGGGGGGGGTGTATGGTGGTCTACTGGGTGCAGTGCTTGTTGTACAGTCTGACAGCAGCAGGAGGAAGGACTTCCTGAATCTCTTCACACACTTGGGGTGAAGGAGTCTGTCACTGAAGGAGCTGTTGTTAAAAAGTCCTGCCAAACTCTCTCAACTTATCAAAACCACAAATGTTTTTCTTAGTCAATGAATTTACTTAACATCTAATTACTGAAGACAGACAGAGACAAATAATTCAAATGAATGGATATTCTGACTTTCACCATCTGAGTGAACATTAACTTTAACTAAAGACATTCCGATCATTGACGGGGTTTTCCTTCAATGAATCATTGTCGGAACAAGATAATTAGAACAGAATAGAGAGACAACAGCGGAGGCGGCTCCTTGAAATATAATTCTATCATCACTAAGAGCTGTTGATTATATAAAAGGATTGTGAGGCTTATTTATGAACCTGAGGGAAAAGTAACACACACACACACACACACACACACACACACACACACTGCCCCCCCTCAGTGGAAACAAATGTCTGAAATCAATTATCAATCAAATCTGTCAAAACATTTAAACTACAAATAAAATATTTTTGGGGATTTCAGACATTTTAATGTGATTAACGATCAGTGTTAAGTGAATCTTACCTTCGTGATCTGATCCTCGTATTCCTGTCGGAGTTCACCAGGACGACTGACTGAGGGAGCACACACCAACACTACACACACAGACACAAACAAGCACAGACACACACGCACACAGACACACACAAAGACACACAATTATAGGATGTTTCAGAGTTATGGTTGTATTATGGGATGTTTCAGAGTTACGGTTGTATTATGGGATGTATGGGTACCTCCTGAGTCGTCCTCGTCCTCCTGACCCTTGAGACGACGTTCACACTGCAGAGGGAAGCTGCTCTGGATCTGATGCCACAGCTGCTGATCTACCAACGTGTTGTTCCTGCTGTTCAGACGGGCCCACGATGAAACTCTCTTCCTGCACATCGGACAGCATAGCGTCGACTTATCGACCGTCTCCAGAAAACACACCTGAGAGAGGGGAGATGAAACGTATGAACATTTTGTATCACAATTATAGCAAACAAAGTGATCACGACTATCAGTATTATCTGATAGTCGTGATCACTTATCTTGTTAGGTGTGTGTGTGTTTGTTACCTTGGAGAAGGTAAGTGTGTGTGTGTGTGTGTGTGTGTGTGTGTGTGTGTGTGTTATCTTGCAGAGAGTGTGTGTACAAGGCAGTGTCACAGGTTCGATGATGATCTCCAAACAGACAGGACAGCGACAGTCTTCCAGAGACAGTGGACGTCCCACTCCTCCTGCTTCCCCCTCTTCTGACACTGGAGACATCCTCCCCAGTTAATGATGTCCAGCACACACAGGTAACACACCTGTGTTAAGACAGAACAGGTGGAAATCAGCTGACTGAGCAGATGTGAAGAAAAAATCCTCAAACTAAAATGTTTTTTAAATAAAATCAAAACCTTTCAATTTCGGAAGTGAAGACATTTATACCTGAATCAACTATTTGTATGCCTCCTGGTGGAGAAAACACGGTTCTCACTGTGGTTATGTACCCAAATAAAAGAAGAACCACAGACACAACCTGGTATTACTCACAAACACCTGCGGCAGGATCTGTGGTTACCAAGGTAACTTCACGTATATCATGTCATGTATAAAGTAAATTTGAATGCCTTTATTGTTATTGCACAGCTGTACAATTAAAATTTTGTGTGTCTCCCTGAGTATTACATACAACATACATAAAACAACAAGCCAAAGTATCCTCAAACAGATTCAGTGGCCCACTGCTGCTTCAGAATTGTGGCAGACACACTTTATGAATCTGGTATCCCTATTCCGTGCTGTATTATCCTGCTGCATGTCCTCCCTCCTCACTACACTGCTGAACTGCTCTCATTTTTCACCATAAACACCAACACTAATCACAAGTTATTAAGATGTGAACAATACTAAAGTTTACTTAATTTGCTCTGGGGTTTACACTGTATGGACACAAGTATTGGGACACACCTCATATTAACTGAATTCAGGTGTTTCATTCAGTCCCATAGGCTGGACCCTGAATTCCAGTGAAGGTAAATCTTAATGCTTCAGGTGACCAGGGCATTTTGGACAATTCTAAGCTTCCAACTTTGTGGAAGTGTTCTGTTCCAGGACTCTGCTCGGTCCATAAATGCCTGGCCGGGGGAGTTTGGTGTTGAAGAACTGGATGGGCCCCACAGAGCCCAGACCTCAACCCCATCCAACAACTTCAGGATGAGCTAGAACTGAGAGTCTGATCCCTCGGGTCCAGCATCAGGGTCTGACCCATAGACTGTATATAGTATATATGGTCTGACCTCACACATTTCTTCTGGATGAAGGAGAGTGAAGCTGCTACAGCTGCAAACACCAGCTCCATATAAATGCCTTTGGATTTAGAATAAGTTATAAAAGCTCCTGTCCCAGAACTTTGGTCCATTTACTGTAAACGACAAGTATTTAAACACACTGGGAAAAAAGAGTCCAACATTTTGTGCACACGCAGTTAATCTGCTAGACAACACGAGTTGGACCCACACAACACAGTCAGGACATCAGAGTTAAAGTGACCAAAACGACCCGGATTCATGATCCCACACCATCGATCAATTACTGAAGCCATGTGATTGTCAGTTTGTGTCCCTTCAGCTGAAGCACGGATAAATCTAGCGGAGGCAATCGACGTTTTGACAGAAATGGGGACTAATTATGAGGATCTGTCGAGAGCTCATCAGGAACTTTTTCTAGAAGTTGGGTCGATCCCGAGTTTTCCTGAAAGCAGCACCAGTTGCTGCTGACGCTGCTGTTTGTCACAAAGGAACATTTAAATAAAGTTATATTATGTTTAAATAGAGTTTAATTCGGTTTATATGAAGTTGATGTAAAGGTCAAAGGTGAAACCCCTGTTCATTGCTGCTAAACTTAGCTTCAGCTGATGCTAACGTTAGCTTCAGTTTACACTGCTAACCATAACAAGAGGCTAAAAACTCACGGCCGAACCGGAGCAGCTCCTCGGCTCAGCCCAGCGTCACACCCCGGGCTTCAGTCCCGAGCCTGAAGATCACTCACCGGAGGACAACCGGAGGACAACCTGAGAAGAACCGTGTTTACCGGAGCAGAACCGGACCAGAACCGTGCTTACCGGAAGTCTTCCTGCTAACACTGAGAACCCGCGTGATTCGACTGTTTGTGCGCATGCGTGACACAGTCCCGGCGCTGCCTTCAGGAGCGTCGTAAATCCCAGCCATGATCAATCATCAATATGTGATATTGATGATTAGAAAACAAAATCATCGTAATATATAAAGTGTATTTACATAAAGCTCACAACTACCAAGTTTGTGGTTTATTCAGTGTATTCAAATATTTGATTCAAAGTTTTATTTCCTGCACTAAAATCTTTCATTTGACTGGAAAGTATTTGCACAAATTCCGGCTGTATATGAAATAATGAAGTTTGAAGATGTTTCTAAAATCATAAGGGAAAAACCCATGAGTAAGATCTTCTTTGTTCATTTCCCACTTTACAAGTCATTTGTATTTAGAAGTAGTAATATCATCTCTTTTTAATACCATGGAAATAGTCTTTTAGCATCACAAATGAAAAAATGCTTCATGAAACTAGATGGGTATTTATTTCATGAGATCAACATATTTACAAACACACAAGTGAATGTGATCGATCAAAACAACAGTGTTTCATTTTTCACATGAACTGAATCAATCAGAGGAAAATATTTCTCTGGAAATACATTTATATCATGAAAAAAAATCAAACAAAAGTCATATAAACAGAAAGAAAACAAGTGTTGTTCTCTTCTCACACTGATGCTATTTGAATAAATTGATATAACGATGATCTGATGTAAATACAGAAAATCAATAACTGTATATAATGACGATCAATAACTGCATACAATCAGTGAATGTTTATAAAGATGGATACGTCCGATACCAACTCTGCCATCTTGTGGTAAGGACGTAATTTACAGTAAGAGTCTATGTAGTCTTGAAAGTGGGGTGGAGCCATGGTATCAAGGATCAGTCTCAGCTGTCAATCATCAAATAACTAATTAAAACCAAAGTGATCAGAAACACTTCACACAGTGAGATAAGAATGACCTGAAATGAAAGAAACCATCTTTGACAAACATTTACCCCTAACTCTAGTCCATTTCCCATCTGCTAACATGGAGGAGGTTTATGACCTATACTACAGCAAGCCAGCCACCAGGGGGCGATGAAGCTGTCATGTGGTCCATCTTTAATGGCTGATGCAGACTTGAGGCCATTGACCCCAAATCTATATTGATCTCTAAGAAACATTTCAGCTGTTACTGTTTGTAAACTCTTGTGTCCATGGAAACTCATCCCTGTGTTTCCTCCGTTTGTTGCCGGACTCGAGGTCGTTCAGGCCGTCGTCTCCACAACAATGTTTCTTGAGCTGCCGAGAGTCAGAGAAGCCCTGACTGCAGCGGTCGCAGGAGTACAGCTTCACGCCCGTGTGGATCTGCATGTGGGACTTGAGCTGGTTAGACTGCCTGAACTTCCTGCTGCACACCACACACTGATAGGGTTTCTCTCCGGTGTGGACCAGCAGGTGGCGGTGGTAGTTCTGTGGCGTCCTGAATTCTTTCCCACACTGTTCACACCGGTGAGGTTTGACTCCAGTGTGCAGCAGCTGGTGCTGCTTAAGCTGTGACGAGAGCAGAAAACCTTTCTGACAGATGCCGCACACATACGGCCGGTCGCCGCTGTGCTGCCTCATGTGGTACAGGTACATGTGTCGCAGGTGGAACGACTTCCCACAGGTGTCACAGGTGAACTCTTTGTTCTCTGCATGACTCTTCTCGTGTGTCCTCAGCGTAGTGCTGCTGCTGAAGCTCTTCAGACAGATTTTACAGCAGAATGGCTTGACCCCGGTCGAACTGCGTCTCCCCTTCCCTCTGTCTGTCACTCCGTCTTTACTGTGATGAACCAGCTGCTGGTGTTTCTGCAGCTGACAGTTGTAGAAAAACGTCTTCCCACACAAATCACACATGAACGGCTTCTCCACTCCGTGAACCAGCATGTGAGTCTTCAGAGCCCAGGTCCCGGTGAACCCCTCCCCGCACTGATCACACCTGAGACACAACAGAAAGCGATGGAGGAAGTTACAAATATGAACAAAACTACAGAAGTCAAACTGTCTATTTTCTCTCTCCTTGACAGCTCAAGTATTTAACATAAAGTATGTAAATATAAAGTATTTAATATAAAGTATCTAAATATAAGGTATGTAAATATAAAGTATTTATACAGAAAGTATTTATATATAAAGTATTTAAATATACAGTTCTGGATTAAAGAAAACAACAATTTGTAAATTTTAGAGGAAACACTAGTGAAAACATCACTAGAATGATTTAATATTCAGTTTATAACAATAGATCATTTCACCTAAATCTTAAAAACTGGACCTTTAAATAAATGGAACTCAACCTTGAATTGGACCTGAGCTTTAAACTCTAATACATTTTTTATTGCCTAACACCAGCCCATAGTAAAATTCTACTGTGCCAATAATTCAAGACATATTTCCAACCTAGGAAACCCTAACCCTAAGACATGAAGATGAACAGATGATTTTCAACTCAACTCAACTCTAACTACTTTCAATTTCTCTAGTGCACGATGGCACAAAGATTATTGAACACTGAGTGATGTGTCGACCTTTGGTCTGAGAGTCCTACTGATACATTCATAACTCCTAACTCTAACCCTGAACACATTCTTGTATTGCTGTGTTGTTGCTATTACCTGAATGGTTTCTCTCCGTTGTGAAGCCGCAGGTGTCTCTGCAGGTTGTACTTTAGTCCGAAGCTTAGACCGCAGGTTTGGCACATGAAGGGTTTTTCTCCGGAGTGGACGATGGCGTGCTGCAGCAGACCCATGCGACACTTGAAGGCTTTGTCGCACTCGCTGCATTTGAAAGGTCGCTCCTCTGAATGCGATCTCTTGTGAACGCGAAGGTTGCTGGCGGTGGAGAAGCCCTTCCCACAAGTCTGACACATGTACGGACGGGCACCGGTGTGAACGGTCTGGTGCTCTCGGAGGCTCTTCTTCCGTGTGAAACTCTTCCCGCAGACGTCGCACATGAAGGGCTTGACTTTGGCGTGCGACAACTCATGGTAGCGGAGAGCACTAGAGGAGGTGAAGGTGCGATCGCAGGCGTGGCAGACGAGCGGCGTCTTCTCGAGCCGATGGCCAGCCTGGTGGGCTCGGAGCTGTCTCAGCAGTCTGAACTTCCTGTCACACTGGTCGCAACGCAACAGCTTGTCAGGGTCGTTCTCCTGCGCCGCCCTCAGCTGGTGGCTCAGTTGGTGTTTGTGCAGCGTGGTGATTTTGTAGAAACCTTTATCGCACAAGCTGCATGGAAAAGGCTTCAGGTGACACGACGCATGTTTGTTCAGCTGATGTTTCTGATGAAAACCTTTGTTACACAGTTCACAAAAAAACCTCTTCTGTCTGTACAACTCCCTCCTCCTCCTCCGCTCTTCCTCTCTCTGCTGGTCATCAGTCAGCCCTGCACCAACACACAGGGTTTACAATATACACAAAACAGTGACACACACACACACCATCACCTCAATGGTCAATGGGGCCCCTATGAGTGGGAATCTTGTCAGTGGGGATCCTGACAGAGGGGCCCCTGGGTGATTTATTGTAAATTTATCGTAAATGTGAATTTCACTTCTGAATTATTTTGTCCCTAATTGGTTCCTGTAGATTTCAAATGTCTCACCTGGTAGACTCCTCGTCTCATCTTCATCTTTAACAGTTTCTCTCTTCTTCACCGATTGCTGAAAAACACAAAGGCTGTTTTTTAGACATGTCGTGACATCCCCACAGAACTGGTTCTGGATTTTCACCATAGCAATAAATGGTTGATTTGAGGGGACGCTGGTGTTGATGCTATAAACAAAAATGTGATCTCCGCAGCAAAATACTTCCTGCATGTTTGCGGCTCCACCTCTTAACTGAATCCTGCAGGGGATTTGAGTCCGCTGTGATCCATGTGAGAACATGGGTCTGATGATATCAGACGACATTTAGACTAAAAACATGGTGGAAATGTTTAGCCTAAAGTGTAATTTGAATGTGGGGCTTAGGGACACTTGGATTACACCACACAAACAGTTTGGAGTCAAGTTATGTTCTTTACGTCTGAAGAAGAGGTCCCCTATTATTAAAATAGAACTGGATTTGGCTGCAACACATTTTACCCCTGAAATTCCAGAAGTGCTTTGTGGACTCAAACACTACACCCCACACTTCCTGTGACATCCTGATAATTAAGAGTTACAGTAATCTAGTCTAGAGAACAAATGGACRAGTTTCTCAGCGTCCTTCTGAGACAGGATGTTTCTGATGTTCTTAATATTGCGCAGGTGGAAGAAAGCTGTCCTAGAGACTTGTTTTATATGTTGGTCAAATCTCCTGGTCCAACATAACTCAAGGTTCCTCACAGTGGAGCTGGAGGACAAACTGACCCCAAGGTGACTGATTCTCTGAGATGTTGAGGGTCAATTACAACGACCTCAGTCTGAATTAGAAGTAAGAAGTTCTGGCTCATCCAGGCCTTGATGTTCTTGAGACGTTCCTGAAGTTGAACTAAGTGATTAGATTCATCAGGCTTCATAGAAATGTACAKCTGGGTGTCGTCTGCGTAACAATGGAAGWGTCTGTGGTGCTTTCTGATGATGTTGCCTAAGGGAGCATATATAAGGTGAAGAGTATCGGTCCAAGGACAGAACCTTGTGGAACTCCATGACTAACTTGCATGTGCATGGGGGGGTCAATGTTGAGGTTAACAAACTGAAATCTATCTGATAAATATGATTGAAACCAGTCTGAAGTCCCTCTGATCCCTTCATGTTGTTCTAGTCTCTGTGATCTTATGATCTATGGTGTGATGCGACAGTGCTGTATTGATCAGTATTGATCACACACTTACATCCACAGATGGTTCTTCGTCAGGTGTAGGCAGATCTTCACTGACGTTTGATGATTCACCAGTGAGCTCATCAACTGGCTGAGCATTAACCACAGGAAGTGATATCATGTGTGAAGAGGACTGGATCAAATCTGGTGATCGATTTTGGATCAATTCTAAAACCACCTCAGTCTGGATGTCAGGAGGGGGCCCAGCTAGTCTCTCCTGCAGCGCTTGAGGGCACCTGCTGCTCTGGCCCGTGATTGGTGCGGAGAGTGGCTGGCTGATGATGACCAGGGGGACCTGGGGGCCGCCACATATTGTTTTAGTGGAGTTGAGGATGGCCATAGCGAGAGCAGCAGGGTTAGCTGCTGATTGGTCGATGTCCAGGGACAGAGCACGCCCATCTGTAAGATTCAGTTCATCAAAATAAAAGTCTGATTATTGATATTAAAAGATAAACGTATGACAATAAACACATTAAATTATATTTCATTTAAACTTCATGTTGAGTTTCATAAAGTTCTTCTTCACTCTGTCTGTTGTTTTGGGGATAAATATGTTTGAGTTTCTTTGGTGGAAGATCAGATATAAAAATGTTTAAGCATCAGTAAATGTTTTAAAACTAAAAATGTCGCTGCTGAAACATTTCAGCACAATTTAAGTTTTTCTATAAAAAATAACATCAACTAAAGATTGTTTTAAATATTTATTCAACAAAACATTTATTCTTTACCAGAGACCACACTGACACCCAAAAACACGTGTCACATGACCAATCACCTGTAAACAGTGTTGATGAGCGTTCAGGTTCCCTCCCCACACGTTAAGA